GAAACCGAGAAAGTTATGAAGTCTAATTTGGTAAAAATTTAAAAAACCAAAAATAAGCTTATATGAGCTCAAAATCGAATTCTCTCGTCAAGTGTCAGTTCTCTGTCAATGTTATTGTCAATCCGACCCTAATGTTCAATTAAAACTCAATTTTGAAAACAAAATACAAATATAAATATATACAGTATAATTATATACAAAATACAGGGTTTTATACTACATATTTTTATTTCTACTCATTCCAAACTGAGCTTAAATGAATTATCATACAATTTTAATCACTATTGATGATTGTTGTCATGTAACTAACGTGGCAATACCTCGAAGAACATCCGTTAGTAGGACGGTTCATGCCAAGCAGATGCACCCGAGCTTAGTTGAACACAAATTGGGAGGATCGACCTGAAACATTAGTCATCACCTTGAAGCGTTTATGCGGCCCAAGCATCCGATGAGTTACCCGACCTCATGGAGCTCAACCTACGTGATTTATCCGCTTTGTACCATTTGAGCCATTTAATGATTTCGAGGTATTCGAAGGAAATGTCACAGATGTAGCAACTATTACATGAATCTCCCCCATTTCTTGGAGAAATGACGAGTGATTGACTTAGTGACTGTTCCTGAGTATTCCCTAAAATTCTGATGGTTAAGGCCCGTTACTTCTAAACACGTCAAGAATGTTCTGACCGTTCTCAGAGGTCTATATAAGGGTAATTTCTCGCCCTCAAATGGTATGCTCTTGTAAGCCTTCTAGTTCTCACTCTGCTCCTTTCTACCGTCGGAGCCTCTTCGCCTGGGCCACAACCCAGACTCTCTAACATTTGTCTTCTTCGCAGATTCAAGGCACTCCCTGTCCGATTTATCACTCCAGCACGGACCGGTTCTGATCGAGCTACATCAATTATAGTACCGGGGAATTTCATTTCATTTTTAGTATTTGAGATGAAATGAAATAAAGAACACAAAAATTTGGATAATTTCTTGTTGTCGAAGATGGGAAAGATTCCTTGTGTTAGAAGGTAGTTGTATATCTTTGTAGACTGTAGGTGGGCAATGGGCCACAAATGATGAGGGATCAGGGGAGTTGTGAGATATACGAGTTCAAATCTGCTCCCGTACAGGAGACACCTGTCCTCTCACACGAGTTCCATCGTCCCATTAAGTCCAAAATTTCACCGTAAAAACCCAAAATCCCCATTCCTGCTCGACCCTCTCTCCACTTCCATCTTAGATGGTAATCCAATTCTCCGGCACCGGCATTCGTTCTGGTAATCACACCGCCCGAGGGCAATCAACTCCCTATTGAAGTAATTGAAACATAGCTTTCTAGTGAGGTTGTCCCAAGCAGCACAATTTGACGCAACGTGGAAGTAATGGAAACCGGAGCTGGCTATGCAAGCATCGGGCGTTCGCTAGCACCTAGCGAATAACACCGATTTCTCTAGGAGAGAGAAAATGTGGCGAAAACTCAAAGAAGAGAACTCAAGAAAATCTGAAAATATGAAGTGTGAATTGATTAATAATTTTGGGAAAATAACAGTATTTATAATACATTTAGAAATTATAAAAGAACTAGGAAATAACAACTAGGATAGGTCCAAATATCTAATCTGATAGGATCGAATTCTCCTTGGTTTGATCTCCACCTTCCGATCTCTCTAGATGCATGAATCTTGGATTATCTTGTTAATCTTGATGCTTCTTGGAGTCTTTCTTGATAATCTTGGAAGAGTCTTGCTTTATTTTGCTAATCTTAAAAGAATCTTGCTTTATCTTGCTAATCTTGGAAGAGTCTTGCTTATCTTGAATTCTTGGACTTAACCTTATCTTGAATTGACCTTATCCTAGGAGCTGCCGCCCCTAGGGGTGAGATGGGCCTCCATCACAATTAGTGAGACTATGTTTGGTTTGATGGAAAATGTAGGGAAAGGAAGGGAGTTGATGGAAAATGTAGGGAAATTCATCCAAAGTTTGTAAAGGTTTTTAAACTTTTTCTTTCCTTTCTCTACTTTTTCCTTCAAACCAAACACAGTGTGAGAATGCTTGTTGTGTTTGTTTTGTTCCAGACGATTGGCCTCTCGTATTTGAAATTGCATGTTGCTGGGGGTTTGGAACATCCCGACTGCAATCACAAGCAGCAAATGACTGCATCAGATCGACTATGAAGTAATTGTGGATATCAATTTTTTAACTAGAAAACTTGTAAATCCAAACTGTGCTTTGGCACTTGAAAACAGAGAACAACATTCTAGCAAAGTGAATTATAGAAAACTGAACTTTTAATCTAAATGGGATCTCAGGAAAGATTGAAATAGCAAGAAAAGTAACAGAAACCAATATTTTACAAATCCAATGTTGAGCAATCAGCCAAAAAGAAAATGTGTTTCAATCAGTAGTTTTCTAATAAACCCAACTACAAAATGCAGTGAAAATTCAGTAATACAGTCGTGGTCATAGATGGTAGATACCCAAACCAACGGTGATTTCTACCAAGAATTAAAGGAAATTTTCTCGAATTAATGTCTATTTCAATTAAACAGGAAGAAAAAATGTAAGAAATCCAAAAATGGGAGGGGATCTACCAAAAGGTTTCAAGATCAAAATCTCCAAAGTTGATAAAGAAAAAGGAAGAAAAAAAACAGATACAGGTCAAAATCCCCAGCAAACATATTGCAGACTTGGAGATTATGTAATATGTAGTAGGAAGAGGTCATTAAAGCCCTTTCCCTCTTATTTTTAAATTTAAAAGTTTGAACCCTTTGGATTGGGAATTTGGAAGAAGAGGATTTTAGATAAGGGAGTATCTATGATTCTGGAAAAACATGGTACCATAAGAGCTTTCACCCATCAAAACACATTTTTGAATTTTGATAATACTGGTTAATACGTTTATGATATCTATTGATTGGTCATTTTCAGATATAATTTCTTTCTGGTATCGTCGATACCCTTGGACAATGTCTATAAAAAAAAAATAAAAAAAAAAACTTAGTTCATTTCTAAAGTTATTTGTTGTTTCTTAGGGAAGACTTTAGAGGCGAAGATGTGTACAAGAATTGTCTAAAAACCAGGCATGGATGGTTTGAGTCCATGAATGATTTGGTTTTGGTCTATCTTCTCTGACCTCTCATCCAAATGAAAATGTCACAAAATGAGAGTTTGCATTGATGTCGCACGAGTGCCCCACACCACATCCCAATTAAATTTGGGCAATGACAAGTATGGAAGATGTTTTTAATGCATGCTGAGATGTGCATGTGGAGCGCATTCTGTTGGGTATGAACGTCGTCTTCCTGCGTGCATTTGTAGCCTTTCCACTAAATGGAAGTTAATAAGCCACTGAACGAACATGACCTCTATCAAACAGTCGGTGCATGTATACGGTCATGTCTGAATAGAGAGAGAGAAAGAGCAATAGTCATTTGTCAACAAAATTCATTTCAACACCCTACCAAAATCATCATACACCTGACGTCTCATACACGATAGATCTCACTTTTGTTGGCAAGAGATCCCAATTCAGTCATTCCAGAGTATCGTGAACATGAAGCTAGGGATTTGGTATAAATTAATATAATCAGAGAAATTCGGATTTACTGAACGCTTTAATTGTTGGCTGTGGAATCAATGAAGAGTTTCCATGCCAATATTAAATTCATGAGCCTACAGGCTTCGTTATTTAATACTGACTTAATACCTTATCATTAGATCTACAGCCCCCTAGCAAAGACTCGTTGCCCTGTGCCTGGTCTTTGGATTTTAATACCATAGTAGCGCATCAGTTGACTAACAGGATTTTCGATGTATAGCTGCAATTCACGGAGCCTAGACTAACAGGATTTCCTATGTGTGCTGCAATTCACGACAGATGGAGAGTGGGTTCATTAAAGCCATTTCTGTCCAAAATCCGTGGTGGAAAAGAATACACCACACAACCTTGGGAAAAGTTATGGCCACGTTACACTTGAATCATCTTGTCAAAGAGGGCTATGACTAAGGAATATGTAGACACATATATTTGTTGCGATTACTCTCCTAATCTTATCGATTCAGATTAAGGGTGAGCATAATTCGGTTGAAACCGAATAACCGAACTGAAAATTTGGTTTTGGTGTTTTCAGTTTGGTTATTTTGAAAATTGGTTTGGTTTCGATTTTAAAAATTGGTTTATCAAACTTCGGTTTTCGGTTTCAGTTGGTGAGATTTAATAGTTCAGTTAACCGAAAAAACCAAATTTTTAGGGGATAAATTGATAAACATGCAAATATAATGAAAAGTCTAAAGTTCATTAACCTTTGGTCAAAACCCAAAAAACCAAACTTTTAAGAATAATTTGGTAAATATACAAATATAATGAAAAGGTCAAAGATTATTAACCATAGGCCAAAACCCATTAGTCCGACGAGGTCTTCTTTAATCTTTAGTTTTTCAGTTCATTTTAGTTCACTCCCTGTTTTCTTCTTAACCATCTGAATCTCTGAACACAAATTTTTTTTTTTCTATTTTTTCCTTTTAATCTACAGTCCTTGTTTTCTTCTTAACCATTTGAATCTCTGAGTACAAGTATTAGCCACCGCCCACCGGATTCTTTAGTTTTTAAATGTTTTGCTTAAACTTTGTATCGTAAATTTTTGATGCACTTGCACAAATGCATAGGAAAGATGGAGAGTAACAAGCAGATTCGGCTTTAACCAAATCAACCAAAATAACCGAAAAATAATTTAGATTCGGTTTGTTCAGTTTTTCGCAAAGTTCGATTTTTAACCAAACAAACCGAATGCTCACTTCAGATTCTGTATTTCCTTTTATTTGTTATCATTTAGAAGCTGGACCTGGATTCAAAACAACCAGCCCACACCATTCACAACAGGAAGCAAACGTTGGAACAGAGTAGTGTGTTTGCACTATTTTCCCAGAATGCTTCTGAAATGAAGTGGAAATAAGAAAACGTATATCAACAGGTATGAAAACTTAAACCATAATATATATATTATCTCTTTTTTTTTAATAATAGTTCATAACCGCAAACTGACGCTACAATCAAATTTCTCATACAATAAATATTAACATAGCTGTCCCAAAACTCTCCTCCCCAGTAAATAAGAGAAAGAAATTAAAAAAAAAAAAAGAAAGCATCAATTCTCTTGCCTACTACAGATCCTTCTACTACAAGGAGAGGACATAGCGAATGAAGAAGAGTATCTATAATCTGCGCTCCATTTCCAGCCAACCATCGCAAATAGACTTTGGCTTCTCAGTCCTCTCTACTAAGAATGTGGCGTGTTGTTCTATGAAAAAACTATGAAGCAGCAAATTATGATATTGCTATACCCCTCTTTACTCAGTCCCCAATTAACCCCATAAACTCCCCAGAACTCGCTCAAGTTCACATGACACATGACACGGAAAGCCAACTGCATGAAAGAAACCGACTCACCACCAACACTCTGGTTGAACTCAGAAGCACTTCCGGTGAACAATCGAGGGACCAGATTCATCATACTCACCCTTGGAGATCCACATCTGTTGTACCCATTTGACACATAAAAATACAAGAGTCAATACCATAACCGATAATTGATTATAGACTTACACCCAAAAACAAAAACAAAAACAGCTAGCATAAGCTTACCTGTTGGAAGGTGCTGAGAGAAGCAAGGATTGACCCTCCAATCCAGACACTGTATTTTCTTTCAGGTGGTGCCACCACCTTGATCTTCATGCTGCTCGGAGCAAGAGCTGTAATCTCCTTGCTCATACGGTCTGCAATACCCGGGAACATGGTTGAACCTCCACTGAGCACAATGTTGCCGTAGAGGTCCTTCCTGATATCAACATCACACTTCATGATGGAGTTGTAGGTAGTCTCGTGGATGCCTGCAGCTTCCATTCCAATCAGAGATGGCTGGAATAGCACCTCTGGGCATCGGAACCTCTCAGCTCCAATGGTGATCACCTGCCCATCAGGCAATTCATAGCTCTTCTCCACTGTTGAGCTGCTCTTGGCCGTCTCCAGCTCCTGCTCGTAGTCAAGAGCCACATAGGCAAGCTTCTCCTTCATGTCACGGACAATTTCCCGTTCAGCAGTGGTGGTGAAGGAGTATCCTCTCTCAGTGAGAATCTTCATGAGGGCATCAGTAAGATCACGACCAGCAAGGTCCAGCCGGAGGATTGCATGAGGGAGGGCATACCCTTCATAAATTGGGACAGTGTGGCTGACACCATCACCAGAGTCCAGCACAATACCTATTGAAATTTGAAAACAAATACCCAATTTTAGTACATGAAGAAACACCAACCCCAACTCAAATTAATGAAGATTTCAATATATATACAGGGTGGTATGAATTGCAAATTAACCTGTTGTACGACCACTGGCATATAGAGAGAGGACGGCCTGGATGGCAACATACATAGCAGGCACATTGAAGGTTTCAAACATGATTTGGGTCATCTTCTCCCTGTTGGCCTTGGGGTTAAGGGGTGCTTCTGTAAGAAGAACTGGGTGCTCTTCAGGGGCAACACGGAGCTCATTGTAGAAGGTATGATGCCAAATCTTCTCCATGTCATCCCAGTTGCTGACGATGCCATGCTCAATGGGATACTTCAAGGTGAGGATACCTCTCTTGGATTGGGCTTCATCTCCTACATAAGCATCCTTCTGCCCCATCCCAACCATGACACCTGTGTGTCGAGGTCTTCCAACAATACTGGGAAACACTGCCCTGGGAGCATCATCACCGGCAAATCCAGCCTGTGGATGGATACAAATTACAAAATATGGTTAAGGTTTATGAATCTAACTAGCCCATTTAAATCCCACAAAAGGATACAGGAATACAACTTATCAAAATATGACTCACTAACCTTGACCATCCCAGTGCCATTGTCACAGACGAGGGGTTGAATATCCTCAGCATCGGCCATCTTTTATAGACCTGTATGTGAAAGGAAGGTGTTGAGTGCTGAGAGAGAGAGAGAGATAGATAGAAAGAACAATAATAAATGATCCAATCCACTATGATCAGTGTCGCAAGATCAACTAATTATTTTTTATATATATTATATTTTATATTTTATCAATTCTCAGCATTCTCGATTAGCAAACCCAAAAGGTTTCGAAGTTCAAATTGAAAAAGAAAAAAAAAATATGATTAGTTTTGCAAAATCATATAACTTTTTCCAATGGCTAAACATATTGTATCAAAATAAAAAACAAATAATCACCTCAAACAGAGAATTCCCAAAGATCAAAATCCGATAGCATGAAAGCAATAGATCAACAAATCAGAAAGCTTAGGAGAAGGATTCACAAGTTGAGCATATATGAAGAAACCCAGAATTGCTAACACTACAAGATGATCAGATTAACATGCACAAAGATCCTGAAGATCAAAATCTTCCAAAAAAAAAAACAGTGAGTAAAAGATGGGTGACAAAAGATTGATTCTTTTCCTAATGAAACTGCATGATTCACAAAAAATACCTCTAAAAAAATTGAATCTTTCCAATCCCCACACATTTCTCAAAAAGAATAAGGAATACTTCAAAACAAAGGAAATAACTCACCTAATAAAAGAACCTTAGGATCCAAGCGCAACCACGGCTTCGTCTTCCGCTATCAAGACGGAAGAATCCAAAAGGACGATGAGCTTTGTCTCCGTCTCTGTATTGCCTCTTCTTCTCGGAATAAACACCGAAAACGGTGAAGTAAAAGGCTAAATGGACAATATATATTTATATAGTGGGCAGGCGAAGAGGCCAAATCGGGGGTGTGAATTTAAATGCAAATGAAATGAAACCAAATTTATTAAAAAAAAAAAGTGGAAGAATCATTTCGACCAGGAGAAAAGATGGGATGACCTGGCTGACAGCCTTTGCGATCCCACGACCGTCCGATTGCCTGGTCATATTGGATCCCCACCGACCGTTCTAGCTTTCGGTCTCGACTGACCTTTGCCACGTAATTGGGCGGCCAGAACGGGACGTCCGGGTTGGCGTGCGTCCAGTCAGTGTGCTTTCCCTTGACAACCACTAATCGCCGGCCCAGCCGGTTACAGAAAATTCTCCATCCTCTCGAGTCTAGGCTCTGGTCTCAATTCGGCTCGGCTTGGCTTGGCTTGAATTCTATAAATAATTTTTGTTTATTTATTTATTTTTTGCAAGTAAATTCTAAATTGCATGTTGGTGGATGAAGGCATGTAGTCGTACTTCCTTTATACGTGGTATGCGTGGCAGACATGATTGTCGTTATGGTACCATCAATGATGGGTCTCAGCCCCCGTATAAGTAGAGTAGATCAGTAGATCTCGACTCGCATACAGTCCTACTCGTAAAGGAAGAAGGGATGATTTGATTTGGGGCTTGTCTGGTAAAGCTGTGAGGGAGTGTTTCTCTTGTTCTCAGTGCTTCCTTCGAATAGAAATATATTTGGCAAAAAAAAAAAAAAAAAACGCGAGAAACAAGTCATTCTTGAATGAGAATAATGCCTAAAAATTGTGTTTTTTGGGATGTGTTTGGAAACTATGCAAATGGATTATAAATCTTGGTTCAGGGTAAATTTGCATTCTAATTTACTTTTACCATGTTTAGCAACATATAACAGAAAATACATTTTTTAATATGTGCATTGATAATAAGATGTAAAAGTACATCAATAAAAAATAAATAAATTTGCATTCAAGTGGGTTTTTGATAAAAAAAGGCATATGCTTTATTGGAATTCGTGTTTGCATCCGTTACGGCTAAAAGTTTTTTGGTAAAAAGGTAAAATTGTCAATGCAAAACTAGCCCAACTTTGCAATTTATATGGACCGTCTTACACTCTACAATTTGCATTCACACTTATTTGCATCGTTTCCAAATGCAGCCTTGGGAGTGACAAATCGACACTCTCGGATAACACATTCTCAACGAATGCGCGGTTCCCACATCGTTCCAATTTATTTACAAACACATATTTGCCCTTCCCACGTGAGAGAATGGACAACATCGTCATTTTCATTGACGACATAAACTCCCCACCCCTCCAAGCCTTAGTCCTCAAGCAATCTTCTTCATTGGTTCCCAGTGCTCCTATTATAAACCCACATTGTGTTAAGAACCAACAGCGAACGACCAATTTATCATCTCCAACTAGGGGTGGCAACGAGTTGAGCTTTACACGAGTTGCTCGAGTTCGAGCCCAATTCACTGGCTCGATTATTAAATGAGCCAAGCTCGAGCCTACTAGAGCTCGACTATATATATATATATAATGATAGAAAATAATATATATAATAAAAATATTATTATTATTAATTATTATAATTCTTAATTTTTCTCAAAATTGAGCTCGAGCTTATGAATTTTTGACTTGAGCTAAACTCGAGCTCAAGCCTGGTACTATTCGGCTCGGCTCGAATCCACCCCTATCTCCAACAACCATTTTCTAGTCATAATCTCATACACAGGTAAGGTTTTCTTTGTTGTTGGTGTTTCTAACTTTGTATGCTCTATTTTTTTGTCCTAAAACTTTTTCATACTTTGTTATTTCTTCCTAAAAGCATCTTCTCCTTTGTTGTTATCTTCACGAACTCAATTTACTATATGCCAATTTGGTGAAACCTCTCCTATTACTATAGATCTTGTCTCAAGAAGTGAATAGAGTGTTGATTTAAATCCCTAGGCCTCCAGCCCCCCTATATGGCATGACACGCGTTTTGTATGATTAATTTTATGCTTAATGTGGATGGATTTACAAAACTGATATTAAAAAATAGTTTGTCCTCCAAGAATAAGAAATAAATTGTTGTTGTAAGGCAGAAATTTATGAAAATATTGCCAAACAGGACCCAAATTGCCCGGTTTCCATTTCCACTGCCGCCGGCACCGCCACCCGTCTTTCTGATCTCACGAGTCAGACAGTGCCTCACTGCCATGCCTAAGTCAATGTGGTAGTGGATTAAATAATCTAATGAAATTCCCCGTGGTTTCAGCAAATGGCATTCATGGTTATAAACTTATGAATAATTAATAGCTCAGCAAATGGACACGCCAAAAGGGGTTCGGGCTATCAATCAAATAGTATAAATGGCTTGTGGAACCACCTCATTAACTCATTTGCCGAGTTAGCCTCAGCTATCTGCTCCATCAGGTTCATAGATGGTAAACGAAAATGAAATATTATTTCACTCTTAGGAATATGCTTTTCAAAATCGGACCGGATTGAACGGTCGGACCGAAAAATAGGGAATTAGTCAGGTGATTGGTTCCATTTTACCCTATAACCATTATTTTGTAAAATATCTTAGATTTGGTCATCAAACTGCTGATCTAGGTGATCGAATTGTTTGAACAGTCCTATGATTTTGGTTGTTTTTGTTTTTTGTTTTTATTTTTATTTTTTGTCAAAACCAACCATCCGTTTGATTCAAATGGTTGGACCATTCGACCCAAAAACCAGACCTTAACCAATTTATTATCCGATTCGATTTTAAAAACCTTGCTTAAGAAAAAAAATGAAACATTGATTTTCCTTAGGAAGCCTATATTATACAGGAAAACAATGGCACGAAATTTAGCAGAGTTGGCAAAGTGTTTTAAATAGTTTTTCTTACGCAAGGAAATGCCATTTAAATGACTTTTGCTAAAAAAAATAAGAATATAAAAAAGGAAAAATCTATTATGTCAGAAAGAAGTGATATTTAAAAGGCTTGGACTAATTATAACAATCAAAATTCATCTGCTTGATTGATTGCACGTTTTTTCGGTATCATGTCTTTCCAGCATTACCATAAAGACAAATATCACATCCATGTAATAAGAAATTGGGTCATTATTGTAACAAAAATTACCTAATTATCAAGAGAGCATCGCCAATTTATAGGAGTTATACAACCAATTTAAACAAAGTTATTTAAATCAAGGATCAAAATTTAACAACATATTGCATTGGCAGGTTACTAATACTCAGACTCTTTTGGGTTTTTGACCAATTTCAAAGGGTAAGCGGAACTAAGACCAGCTCCCGAACTTTTTTTTTTTTAAAAAAAAGGGAGGCATGTACTTAGGGGTGTCGATTGGACATGATTTGGTTCAATCCAATCCAGTTCAATGTGAGTCCATTATAAATGGATCAGGTCCAATCTAATCCAACGAATAATTTGGATCATTTTGGATCGGTCAATTCAATGTTTGGATCATCTTATTTGTTCAAATTCATTTTAATTTAGATTGGTTTTAACCCAAATCTGGTCCATTGACACCTATATTTTTACCTTATATCAATGGATTAGATATTGGCTTAATCTAACCAAATCCAATATAAATTTATTATAGACAGACCAGATCTAATATAATAATATTTTGGACCGAATTGATCCAATCCACTATATCTTTTTGGTTCATCCAATCCGTCCAAATTGATTTTGGAATGAACGGAGTCCAGTCTAAACCCGGTCCATTGACACCCTTATATATGTACCCATGCATACCTTCCAGCGTATCAATATTTTGAATCAAGCCGCTAGGTTGCTTTATCTTTCCTTTCAATCTGATTAATAAGATCTTGTAACTGGAAATTTGGGATCAAATCCTGCCTGCACATGGGTTGAAGTGTTTATGGGTTTGTGGGATGGCCTACACCGTTGTGTATCCCTTGGAGGGTGCCTCCCTTCATGATTTTCGTTTTTTTGTTTTTGTTGAAATCAAACAATGGGCAATGGGCAATGGGCAATGTGCCGTACGTATATTCAAAAATGATGTTTTGTTGGTTTCATATGGCTTCCCTTCATGATCCATATACTGTTATTTTATAGAGGGTTCTTTGTAATCTCTCTCTCAAAAGCTATCAACCAATTAATACATAATTTTCTATAGTAATATAATCGAGGTGTGGTATAACCACCCAAGACTGAAAAGGATTATCTTCCACCAATTTAATATTTATGAGAGCGAATGGGTTGAATTTGAATCAGATTAACGTAGATCCTTATTTTGGGATGGATTCAGATATTATATACCATTAATATATTAAACTAAATAAGTAAAATATTAATAAAAATGAGCTAGAAAATACTTTAGTATTGTATATTGTGAATAAAATGACTCAAAATTACTTCAATCTATTGTGTGCAGGTAAGTATGCAGACTATGATACCTAAATAACATGATATCAGAAAAACTTATAATCAATTAATCAACATCATAAAAATAGTAACAGTAAGTTTTCATCAAAATTCATTGGGGAGGAGGGTTTGATTGGTCAAAACTTTTTTGGTTTCATGTCTTTTCAGCATCATAGATTTTACATTTAAATGTATATATATAGGATTATATCAACTTAAATTGAATGGATCCATATTCAATCCAATTATAAAATAGGCCAATTTTGGATTGCCTTGTTCAGCTTGTATTTGAATTCAAATTAGGACAAATGGTATTTCCATTTGCAGCCATATTTATACTATTCACCATCTATGTACCACCATTTTTGAGAAATAGAAGTGTACTTCTTAAGAAACTAAAGTGAGAAGACTACTATATTATAATGATCAAGTAAAATACAAAATAAATTATGCAATTGAATATTTGATTGGGAAATAGAGCAAAGGCCTGGTCTGTCCCTTTAGCTTGTATATTGTTGTCAACATCATAAGTGGAGGGAAGGGGAACATACAAGTTCAGGCCTCCAAATGACATAATTGTAAAAGTGAGTCCGTAAATTCGACGTTACAAGTGAAATAAAAATTACTGGAAACACAATTAAGG